CAGCCATATCGCACTGCTACTCGTGTGATATTGCGTTTATACAACAGTTCGACGGCACAATCGTATAAAAAAGATAATCAAACACCGAGAGTCTAAAACTCTTTTGTATTAGGAACTACATTCTTCCGCCATTCGTTTACATCTGCAGCTGATGTCAGAACAGCAGAAGCCGTTACTAATTCACCAACGTCACTGTAGAGCAAGTGTTTGAATGATTCTCTAGCGTAATGTCTAATGTGATGACAAAACAGCTGATTTTGCTCACATTTTAAGATTATAAGGCTGAACGTGACATGAAATGCCATCAGTCTACAGAGACTTCTCACTAAAGTCTATTACAGTCTACAGTATTTCTCTGTTGCTGTCGGTGTTGTGACGAAAATGAAAAAAAGAAGACTATTTCGCACTTCCTATTGGCCTTTATACATTTCTCCCAAGTGCTGTCGACTACATACATGCCAGTCAACGTCAATGAGCAGGAATAAGAAAAAGACACTCAAACATCCGTCGCAATTGAGATACATCTCAAAGGTAAAACAAACCCCAGAAGAAGTCCTCTTAAAGGGGATATGACATTTATACGCAATGCATGTCAAACATTAAGCGACCGTTACAATATCACAATAACTAACCTTGAAAAAAGCAGCGCAATCACTACCAGACTGCTGTTGTGTTTGCGATAAGGAGGGACGAGGCTGAATCCAGCTTCTTATTCTGAGCTTCTCATTGACTCCGGTCCATCTTAAAAAAAACGTGACACTTCCGTCTTTCAGCTTCTCATTTGCGCTCAAGAAGACACACTAAGCAAGGGCTTATTATGTGGTTCTGGCGCCATCTTGTGGATAGACAACGTCAACCGTCTTTGGTCTACTACACTATGGCAGGCTAATGGCCGCTGACGAGCTTTCTCAGAATTTGTAAATATTTTAAAATAGGCACTATTTTTATAAATAAACTGCATAGTTGCAATCTAAACAACTACATTCTCTACTAATAAAGCCTCAAAAGTACATTTTGTTGTCTAACAGCAGGAATATTTGTCAAACTGAGCGTCTCTGCTTGTTGCTGGCTGTATGTGGGCGGAGTAATACACAGTGAAGGGTGAAGAGGCCTTTGTGTGATGTTACTGGCAAAAATATATATATATATATATATATATATATATATATATATATATATATATATATATATATATATATATATATATATATATATATATTTTTTTTTTTTTTTATGTGTGTGTGTGTGTGTGTGTGTGTGCACAAAAAAGCATTGAAATACACTTAAAACACAAGTCTGAATACACTGAGAATCTATTCTACACGTAGAAATCACCTTTTTAGAAGGGACACTATATACTGGATAACTGCAGGTTAACCATTTTTATATTCTGTCCAGCCTATGCACAACACCTTGACTTTTATGATTTGGACTGTAATGTGATAATGTGCACCTTTAGTAATGCTGTTTTACAACTGTAACTACTGTGTAAAGCACTATACAAATAAACCTGAACTGAAATGTACTTATCGTCATCTATTTCTGTCCAGCACTCCCACTAAAGGCATCGAGAACATGGCGTTTGACCGCAACACCGACTCTCTATTCGAGGAGCTCTCGTCCGCAGGAAATGACCTCATCGGGGATGTAGATGAAGGAGCCGACCTGCTGGGTAAGATTTCACACTTATTTACACACACTTAGAGGGATAGTTCACGCAAAACTCAGTCATTTACTCACCGTTTACTTGTTTCATAGAGTTTCTTTCTTCTGTTGAACACTCAACACTATTTTGCAGAATGTTGAAAACCGGTAACCATTGACTGACATATTATTTGTTGTTTCTCCTACTGTGGATGTCAATGGTTACAGGTTTCCAACCTTTTTCAAAGTATCTTCTTTTGTTTTTATTAGAAGAAAGAAACTAAGGTTTGTAACCACTTAAGAGAGAATTAAATAGTGAGTTTTGGAAAAACTACTCTCTTTAACTATGCTAATTAGGCAACTATTGTTTCTGTAGCGACTAGAAAAAATGCAATCATGTTTACTGTAGTTGTTTTCACATTTTTATTACAAAAAATGTAAATAATTCGGTACCTGTCCGCAGTGGGGACCTCTGATATATATTGTTATTGTTATATAGAGTAAATATTATATATATATATATATTGTTATTGTCATTTTGTACATCAAAATTTGAACTAATAATTGAATTAGGATGTTGAATATAGATGGTCAGATGTGCATGTTTATGCATGTGTGTGTGCGTGTGTGTCTTTCTCCTTTTGTGTCATTGTCAGTCATCAGTCACTTCTCTTCATGGTCTTGTTTACAGTCTTTATTCTTCACTTTATTCTTTCCTCAATGCTTGTGGCGCTTCATTTGTGGCTTTTCTTTCCCCCAGACGAGTTTTCTGGTGTGTATGTTTGCTCTTCTCTTTCGTTTCTTCGTCTTTTGTCTTATTATTGTTATTCACAATATTCTCTTTATGTGCATTGCTACTAGTGTCTAATGTAGCTTTTTTTCTCCCGTTTATGACTACTAAAAAAATAAAATAAAATAAAAGATAAACAGTTTACAGAATGAAATTAAAGCTTACTTATTAGAAAGCACTCTTCGCTGCATATTAAAGTCTTTATTTCGAATGTGGTGATGTTTTTATTTTGACGCCTTCATTTGAATACGTCAACAAGTTTCCATGAATAAATGGTTGACTCCTCCCCCTTCCAATCGGCCAATCACTGCATGCATAGTTAATGAGATGACGTCATCCATAGCAGCAAGCTCAGCCCCGCCCCCATTCTCAGCTTAAGACTTCTCTCTGTATTCCTTAGTAAGAGAGATTTTAAAATATTTGATGACTAGAGGCATGTAGGAGATCATTTGTGATGGTTTAACAGCAAAGCTGATTATTAAAAGACATCAAATTTGCTAGTAAGTTTTAAAGGCTTGTAAAAATCAGATTTGCATTGAATTAATGCTATTGTTGCTTTATTGTGTTTGCATCTGATTAGGAGACAGTTTTGTTTGTACTTCCTTAGTCATGTATCATCCTTTTACATGTTTTTAATATTCCCTTTACTTGTTTCTTCTTTCTTTTTTACTTTGTTTGCATGGCAATGTTAGATCTTAATCTCTTTGGTAAGAATAATTTCTTAATCTTTTAAGCATTTCATAAACAGTGTAGTCCGCATTGCTGTGGTTTTCAGAGATGTGTGTTTGGGTTTAATGTGCATCAGAGTAAATGTGTTGTGTGTTGCAGGAATGGGCCGTGAAGTCGAACACCTCATCCATGAAAACACACAGCTGCTGGAGACCAAGTAAGTCATGATGTGTTGTTTAGTCCAGTGGCTCTCAATTTAGTGTCGGGACCCCGGGACAATGAAGAGGGGGGGGGGATCTACCAGAAATCTATGTATTTTTGTTCAACCGTAAGAATGACCATACTTTATCCATAACCCACTAAAGAGAAAATAAATTGCCGTTCATAGTTACTATATACTTTATAGCTACTATAGTAGCTTATAGTTACTAGTTCTATTGGATTGAGACCCCTGGAGTAATTACATTATATTAAAGTCACAGTAATAGCGTCAGATGCAGCAGATTGATTTTATGGCACCAGTTTAAACTTCATTTCCCATTTACAGCACTGACATACATTAAAAAAAATTAACGAAGAATAGACTTGGGTCTACTGATGTGTGTGTGTGTGTGTGTGTGTGTGTGTGTCTGTGTGTGTGTGTGTGTGTGTGTGTGTGTGTGTGTGTGTGTGTGTGTGTGTGTGTGTGTGTGTGTGTGTGTGTGTGTGTGTGTGTGTGTGTGTGTGTGTGCGCGCGTGTGCGCGCCATTGCATGCAAGGTTTCTGTATTTATAACCATCTCAAAAGATATTGGGGGTCGCATGTCACTGGCATTGTTATTTTGAGGGTCGCGGGCTGAAAAGTTTGGGAACCCC